TGATCCAAGAACACCCCACTCTCTACTCCCTCCATTACTCAGTAAAAAAGGCACCACAGGCTGTGGCTGTATCTGCATTTGCAGTCTGAGATGCACAATATTGTCTTAAGCCACCCCTCAATCCTTTATATTTTGTTACAAAAATAGGTTTACTGATTTATTGACACATGTGCAAACATACATGGAAATACAGTATACAAGACAACAGAACAGTGTGAAAAGTATGAAAGTCAGTATTTGATATGATCACCTATATTCTTTAAGAAAGTCCAACCTTCAAGATTGCATGAACTCTTGCACAGCTCTCTTGTAACTTCTTTACCTAGTTTTCAGGAATAGTTCTCCGGGGATTGTGAAGAACATTCAAAACTCATCTTGTTACAAAGGAGTATTAGGGACATGTTAACCCTCTCGGGTTCAAATGAAACTTTTTGTTGCTAATGCACAACCAAGTCCTGCAGTGGTACTTCTGAGTAAAAAAAAAAACCTCATAAAATATGTATGTGGGGTAATCAGGTTGTTAGTTTTTAACTGTTGCAAATCGGCAACGCCTGCCTTGAGAGGGTTAAGAAAAAAAATAACTTCATAGAGCATTTTGAGACTAAAGTTGAAATTTTGAGATTAACATCATAATTCTATATCATGAAAAAAGTCATTTTCGAGGAAAAAGTTTAAATGTAGAGATTACCGTTGTTGTTTCAAGACAAGCTGCCATGGTTACTATACCCTTAGTATACCCACTAACCCTTAAGGTTCGTGAAACTGTACTTCAGAATATGTTTTAGTACAAAGTCAGGATATGATTTCTCTTTTAGCACATAATTATCACAGTGTGGTGATAAGTATAAGGAAGATGTTGCAGAAAGTTGCATCTTGACAGACAGAAAAACACTCAAGCTTGAAAGAGTGGATTTGCACAAAATGAAATGGCTGGCAGTGGACAGATGCAAGGTTATCAATGGTTACACCCTTGTGCAATAAAGAGTGTGTGTCAGTGTTTGTTAAAGGTGTTGTATCACAAGACAGCTGATCAGTTTGTTTCACTAACTCATCTAAACAAGGCTTTTTGTAGAGGGTATAGCAAACGTGGCAGATTTTTTTCTCAAAGTTGCATATTGAGAAAAAAGTCAAAATACTATGGTAGTTTGAAAAAAGAGTTAATCTTGAAATTTAGACTTTATTATTAAAATGATCAATGATATTTTTTTCTTACCTTGTCCCTAATACTCCATCATATCTTTGGATGACTGCTTGCTATGTTATGTTCTTTGTCAAGATGATCCCACCCAACTTCAATATTGTTGAGATCCAGGCTCTGATGAGGCCAATCCATGACTGACAGTGTTCCACTGACAATTTGTTCCCAATGGAATGAAGCTACTGCCACAGTTTCCAGATGGGATTCATGGTGGATCAAAATTTGATTGCACTTTTCTGCTTTCCTAATTCCATCAGTTTTGGCAAGATCTCCAACACCGCTGGCTAAAATACAGCTCCAACCCTACTTTGTTTTACAGATGGCTGTAGACACTCACTGTTGTAGCTCTCTCTGACCTTCGTTAAACACGATGAACCAAAAGTTTCACATTTAAATAACTCCATATGACCTCTTCCTGTTCCCTTCACTATGAAAGACTTATTGAGATCAACTGAAGGGTCAGATTTGTCTGTTAGATCCCGAGTCAGGCTTTTGCTGGATTTTGTCTTGTTTTTAAGGACATGACTTTCAGATAGTTTTTAGACCTGCTATTTATTCTTTTGTCCTCCACTTGTCCAGTTTCCTAATTTTTTTCAGGGCACACTGCACACGATGTCAAGATATGGCAAGTTTCCAGCTAATAACTCTAAACTGTGATATTTTTCACTTTTATAAAATTTATAATAGATTCAATTAAAGAAATTAGAGCAAGATATGTAAATTTTTTGTGACATGTTGCTAGTACTGTAACAGTGCCTAAAGACACAATTTAAGACTGGTTCATCCCTTGAGTTAGCTGACTTTTTTTTTTTTTTTGCTTGAATGAGACATAGGTCAGTGTTAAGTGGCTTAACAATCAAACACACAAAAAAAACGTGTTGTGAAAATGGCCAGGTACAAGGGGACTGGTCTTAAAATGAGGGAAAGAAGAGAAAAGCTTTGAATAACCTTCAGAAATCTTGGAAAGCTATTGCTCGAGGTTACTTTAAAAATTACAACAACTTCTGGCTCCTTGTAAGCAAAATATAAATAAGTGAAGGGTGGCTCCAGAATGACACAGTACTGTACTTTTACATACTTTTTTACATAAATAAAAGTTGGCACTGAAAGTGATCTTGACTTACCCTTGACAGAAAGGTGTACAGCACTGAGGGTTTGCCCAGCAGTATTTGATGCAGCGCAAACATAAACTCCGTTATCCTTTTGCTTACAATAAAGAACTTTAAGTGTGAAGTAGCCTTCTCTGTCCTCGTATAACAAATAACGCCTTCCAGACAGTATGAGTCTACCATCTTTCCTCCAAATTATTTCTGGTTTGGGTTTACCAGTCACAAAGCAACGGAATTTGGCATGTTTGCCCTCTGTCACAGCAAACATTTTTACTTTTGTTGACTTGGTCATGCTGTAGTCTTTTAGGCGGTTTGGCAGTTGCCTGCCACTCCTTTGTTTTCCCTGATGGACTTTCCAGTGGCCATTTATGTAGCCGTTGCGATTTCCTTCTTCTTCATGTCCTGGACCTGCATCAACAAGCAACACAGCTCCTGCTAGCGCTTCCCCAAATTCATTTCTTGCCTTGCATGTGTATACACCACCATCAGGAGCACGGGTCTTAAAGATCTTGAGCTGGAACCATCCACCATCCTGGTAGCCTACACTGAAATGTGTGCTTTCAAATATTTCATTGAGTCTTCTACCGTCTTTCTCCCAGATAACCTCTGGCTTTGGGTTTCCCCAAAGCTTACAAGAGAAGACAGCATCTTCCCCACGACCGACACGAGTGGAGAGGGGCTTGATGAGGAATAGTGGCTTATTTTCCTCCCGCAGCTCCATCTCTTGCGCTTCACCTTCCACCTTCAGTGTGGCAGCTGCATAGGTTTCCCCAATGCTATTTTTTGCTTTGCATATGTACTGTCCACTATCCTCAGTTGTGACAGCTGAGATGATGAGATTGTAAACATTGCCATCCTCAAAGACCCTATATCGTCCTTGTGGGTCAATCTTTTCATTGCTTCGCTCCCAGATAACGGCAGGCCTTGGATCACCACCAATCTGACACTTAAGCACTGCATCAGTGCCGCTTTGTACCACTACAGGTCTTGGGTAGGCTAAGAAACGTGGCGCACCACCAAAGACATCCATTGTTGCTTCTTACTTAAGCAGTTTAGGAGAGCAGTAAGTGGCTATTCACTGGTGCAAGACCAACCTACTTCCACACTGCAGGTTTCTACAAGAAGAAACGAAAAGTTATTTACTTTCAAAACAATCAGCTTAGGCATGCTGTATAACATTGAAAAATGAAAAGACTAGAGATTAAATTTGTTTTTCTAAATTATAAAGGTTACTCAGCCTTAAATACCTGTCTGTGGTATGTAATTATTCTTCCATTTTCCCATAGGAAATGAACCCTTTGGAATAGATTCAAACACACATTAAAGCACTCAGCCGCCTCCCACTTTAAGTGCATGCATTTCAGCACAAACTCATGGTATGATTATTAGGGATAATTGAATTAGGGCTGTCTGCATGAGAGAAAATCACATGTTAACAGTGAGAGGGGGACCAGCCTAGTTCCACTGCAATTGCAGCCACAACACATAGCCAGTACAGCTGGTGCTGTATTTCAATGGGAAAGTGCTTAATATAGTACAGCCTAAATAAAGACCTGCGAGGGAGTGTGTGTCAGGTATCACAAAGACAGCACAGAAACCCGCGTGCTCACACAAACACCAGCCGAAATCACAGTCTCCCCACCCAAGAGGCCTTGCTGTCAAAATATGGTGAGCCTCCTTCACACCTTTTGTTGGCAGCGCTGTTGGACAATACTTTCTTTAAATGTCACAGATTTTTTTTTAAATCGTAATCCTGAATCAGTATCACTTAGCCAATCCTACAATCAGTTTTTATATAAAAGTTAGTAATAGTTCACGACAGCTTCAGTTTTTAAATTGTATTTAATTTTATTGCTATAAAAAATTTATTTAGTACTAAATACTAATATATTTATCGGAATATAAAATCTATAGAATAAATTTATCTTTAAATATATTCTTCTCTGTGTGTGCTTCAGGACATGTCCTAAAGTGTTGAAACTAGGGATAGGAATGGAGAACATGTTTCAGTTGAGAACTGGTTGCAGTTTGTCAAATTGTTCAGGAATATTTTCTCTCTGGTTTATCAGTTTCTTTAATCACTGCTGACATGTTTTCCTGATAGTTCCACATTGCAAAACCATGAAGTCATGCTCATTGGACAGGAGTTTTTGCACATTTGAGTGACTTTTAACTTTTTCTGTACTCAAAAAAGGAAAAAAAAGAAGATAATTGAACAGTTAAGGTGACACTGATCATCTGTGTAGGCCTGCTCTTTTTTTTCTCATATTCTACTTGTTTCCACAAATCAATGAAAATTTTGATCTTAGAGGAGAATTGATCATGGCATTGTCATGGCTAAAATGTTATCACTATCCACCCGTATTTGCAACTTTGTGCCTATGGATCCATTTTTCAGTGTCAAGAAATCAAATCAAATCAATTTAAAAAAAAAAAAAAAGGTTTTTAATGATAGATTTTACATAATTTTTTATCATAATTACCATAAAATATTGTTGTTACTGATTTTGTAAACTTAGCCCACAGTTAACTGCTGCAAAACTGAACAATACTGTTTTATACTCTTTACCATTTTCCAAAAATAAAAAACTACAATAAAAATAAATGATTTTAAACCCTTGAATAACTGAAAACTGATGAAAAAGATGCACGTTTTCTTGGAACGGCTGAATAATTTCAGATGTTTACATTTCATACATTGCATAAAATTTCAGGCAGACAGTTTAGAGATTGCATTATTAGTTAAATATTCCCTGTGGAGGTTTAAAGAGGAGATTAACCCCTGTGTTTACTTGTCTGATTTAATTGGAATGACCTCTGCCCCTTGTGAAGCTGTGCTGTGTACCCCTCACATGACCTACCTCGCTTCAGTCGCCAGGAACGACCGTCAACATACATTCCGCATTTGCAATCTCCGTCCGAGTTAAGAGGCCGCCCGTCTCCTGAAGGCTGAGTAATGTCCCAAGTTGACTTCAGATTCAGAAACATGCTACCACATGCTGTCCTCAAAGGTCCCAAGTTTTACGGCAGTACATTTTTCTTGACTTTTGTCCGGTAGAACAGGCAGAAAATGAAACATAAGCATCCACAGGAGCTTCCTGTTTAACTACAACAGAGCGGTCCCCCAATCTCTGTGTTGTTCAGGCCCTCGACACCCCAAGTGTCATTGTTCATGGAATACTGTTAAATGCTTTTGCAGCTGCTGCTGTCCCCTAAAAATACTGGCTGCCTCGATGACAGCAGTGAAGATAAGTCAGGCACTTCCACTCATTTGCCAGCAGGGGCTAAAGATAGTAGGGTGGCCAATGCAGGGCAAACTGCTTAGCTTACTTGAGGTTTTGCAATGTAAAGTCATTAAGAGAACAACAAGCTTTTTAAGTTTTAATGTTTATCATCATTAAACTCCTCATTTAACCTTTTTCTTTCAGATTACACTTTGTAAGGCATGGATTATTTGTTAATACAATTAAGTTGGTCTCATAAAGTTTCAGCTTTTAGTCTCTTGTTATTGTGCAATATGCAAACCACTCAAGGCAACAACCAGCCAATAGATAATAAAACCACCCATGTAATGTTGCTTAGGTCCGCCTCCTGCTACTAAGATAGTGGAGATTAACTGAGCCATAGACACAAGACCTCTGGGGGTGTCCTGTAATGTCTGGCACCTACATTGGTTGTAGGGTGGGGCCTTCCTCGATCTGGCTTCTCCTGGCACATCTCACAAATGCTTGCTCAGACTGGAGCTAATCTGGTCAAAGCCTTGGGCTCTTTGTTTTCTTCTTTGAGCTGTTCCTGAGAAGTTTTTGTGTTATATGGATAATCAACTGTTAGTGCAATTTAACCTGTCTGTTCTTCCATAGTAGCCAATAGCCTGTATTTGATCCTATACCTTGTGGTAAAGTAGGCATTGCATGACATGCGTGCTGGAGTTTTTCAGCGTGTAAGGCTGTTCTGTGATTATGAGATCTTTCCTTAACGTGGGCTACAGTGTCCCTTCAGCTGTTTAGCTGCTCCACTGCTCACACTCCCTCCTTCCCAGATTTCAGCTGTTGGGAGTAATGTGATATAACTCAGACCTCTGAAGCTAGTTATGAAACAATTTGCGCCCATGATTGAGTAACAGTTCAAAAAATTAATACATTGTAAAATGTAAAGGATATTTTGCATATCATGATTTAATTTAACATAAAAAATAGTGAAATGTCCAACATCAATAAAACTGTGAAGTAATGTTTTCTTACATACATAGCTCTAATGTTTGTTGTGTTATAGCTTAAATCCTTTAAAGGTTGTGCATGGTGAGGACAGTTCCTGTATTGCAGACTCAGAAAATATACTAAATTGTTACTGGAATGGTAATGACAGATTACCTCTAATGTAATGCGGTTTTACTTTTGACAGTGGGTACTCCTTTGTACCTTACAGAGACCAGTCTTCAGCTTGTGATGTCTTTTTTGTGCCTTAATGTGATGTTAAAAATATGTAATTTTAAAAAGGTGCAAAACTGGCTACCCATTATTTAAAATATAATGACAGGTAGATGGGCTCACAGTTGTGTAGCATTTTTTGGTCTTTTACTTCTTACTGTGGAGTCACAGTGTGAACCTTGGCACCACCAAACTACCAGTATGCAACATGAATACAGAAGAAAACTGACTTTTCACCCAGTTTCTTGTTGGATGTGGCCTAAAACAGACAGTCTCCTGCTCCGCCCTTCTCCCCAGGACTGGCTTCAGTTTGGGATCCCAGTAATTCTAATATTGGTGAAGTATCATAGTCTGTTGTTTTGTTTTCCATAAGGGTCTTGGAGAATTGGACATTTCTGGCCCTTTGCTTAGAGCCAATTTGCTTTGGTAGACACTATCAGAGCCAAATTATGCTTACCAACACACGTCTTAAGATCACTAAAGCACACAAGCCCCTCCCAAACAATAAGGTGGCAAATCAATGAGAGGGATGCTGAATGTGTAAGTAGCATTGAGACCGCTCAGGATGCGCTGGAATGCAAAACTGAGTTCAGACTGCTTGATCATTTTATTGTTTTATGTATAAGACTTAATAAAAGAAACAAAAACCCAACAAAACCACATGAAAAAAGCAAGTAATGTTATTTATGATTGTTTTGTGGAAAAAGGGCCACCCGTCTTTCCGTAAAGTGTTTCTAAAAGACAGCATTTAACAGATCATTTTGTGTTGTTTTCCCTTAACAGAAATATGAGGAGACACCCACAGAGCTGTGGACATGTTCAGACAGCAGCCTGAAGGTCTGCAGACTAATGCAGCAGATTTTAATAGTTGGTCTTACAGGGCTGAATCCA